GCTGGAGCTCTCTCCCGCTCAGCTGCTGCTGCTCCTGGCCAGTGAAGACTCGCTCAGAGCCCGTGTGGAAGAGGCCATGGAGCTCCTCATAACTCACGGAAGGTGAATCATCTCACCACACCTGTCAAGAACATGTCACATATACAAATACAAATTCCTTGCTATGATGAATATTGGAGCATCTAAATAAAAAANAAGTTCTTACTAATTAGTGAATATAGTGTTATGGTAATAGTGTCAAGTAAAATTAAACATTAAATGTATTTAATAATTAAATACTATAATAATTACATAAATGTATTTAATGTAATTATAGTAGTTACTAATTTGTGTTTTTTAACATTATAATATTTAATCATTATTAAATAGGATATTTATAATTAAAATTACATAATTATTGAATGCTATTAAATGTACTAATTTTTTACATTACATTTTAATAAAATAAAATACTTTGTTAAATGTTTTTAATTAAATACTATAATTACATAAATTACATTTAATTATGTGCATACCTATTTAATAATAATTATATTATTATAGTATTTAATAATTATTATATACATTTAACATATTTAATTATCAAACTGTTTAATTATAATTAATATTACATAATTATTAAATGATATTAAATGTAAACTAATTAAATTATTGTTGTTTAAAACATTTATTAAATTTATGTATTTATTGTTTAGCATTTGATTTTATGGTGACCTGGGTATTTTTGTGAAAAACCCAGTCTCTTTGCTGATAGTGGAGTATTTAATGAGCTTCTCTCTCTTTCGCAGGGAAAATGGCGCTGACAGTATACTGGACCTTGGCCTCCTCGATACTCCTGAGAAAGCACAGGTATGTTGCGTCTAAAACCCCAAAGACTCTTCTCTGACTCCTCTCCTTTGCATCAGGTTAGATTCAGCATAGAACTCTCTTCTTATCATTTTGGGCTGTGTTGGGTTTTGGAGTTGCTCTGTGTGATTTTTCGGACTTTCCTAATGTTACATCTGTGATCTGATTTTAATTGTAATTTCCATATTCCACCAGCAGGAGAACCGAAAGAGGCACGGTTCAACCCGCAGTGTGGTTGACATGGAGCTGGACGACCCAGAGGATGGAGACGATAACGCCCCTCTGTTCTACCAACCCGGCAAGAGGGGTTTTTACTCGCCCCGTCCAGGCAAGAACACAGAGGCCAGGCTCAACTGCTTCCGTAACATCGGCAGGTGCGAGACACACGTTCACCTGAGCATCTGTGTGAGACTGAACCACGATATGAACTTCTAACAATAACCCTGATTCTTCTGCCTGCAGGATACTTGGCTTATGTCTGTTGCAGAATGAACTTTGCCCCATCACACTCAACAGACACGTCATCAAGGTGTTGCTCGGCAGGAAGGTGAATGTCTAAATATTAATACATTTCTAATAGTGACAGGTTTAACCTCATATCACTGCAGGATATTACTGAGGTTGGGCCTTATGAAATTCATTTTATTTTTCCCCCTAATTCTGTTATAATTTTTCTGGGTTACATTTTTTTAAATTTGTTGTTTTCTGGATTTCGTTTTAATGGTTAAATAAAGTTTTAGTAAAAGCATGTCTAATTAATTCAACTCATGAAACTTTGAATAAATTGTTAAATTATGTATTACAATTAATTAGACATGCTTTTTGATTACTAACATTTAATTAAACCAATAAAACGGAAAACAGAATTTGGAAATATTAATTTAGGAAAAATAAAACTGATTTCACAGGGCTCTAAAAAGGTAATTTTTGTTATGCAATTCAACATCAATTTATTAGTTGATTTAACAAAAATAACCTTTTTATGGCCTTATGAATTTTGTTTTACTGGTTAAATTACATTTTAATAATAAAAAAGCATGTTTAATTAATTGTAACTAATAATAACTAAATTAATTTGACATGCTTTTTGATTACTAACATTTAATTTAACCATTAAAACTGAAAACAGAATTTGGAAAAAATAAAACAAAATTTAGGGGGAAAAAATAAAACCAATTTCACAGGGCCCTATAAAAGTCATTTTTGTTTTTGTTTTTTACGGAAAATACTTTTTTAACGGCCCTATGAAATCTGTAAATTATTATTTTTTTTGTAAGTATCTCTAAGTATCTTTTGTAAAAAATGTTTTCCCCCCTAAATTCATTTTTTTCCGTTTAAATTTTTCTGTATTGCACTATATTGGTATTATTCCATATTAATAATAAAAAGCATATCTAATCAATTGCATTTGTAAAACGTTAACAATTGACGTTTTGAAATGTTTTGTTATTTGTCTGCTTTATGAATTTATAATTTAATACTAATCTGTTGTCCAAAATTGTGATAATCAAATACAAAAAAATAATTGTATTAAATGTAACAGTTTCTTTTTTTCCCCCTTTAAAATATATGTACTTGTACTGCAAGTTTTATTTGTATTGACTGGATACTGTGTTCTCCATCACAGAAATCATACTGAGGTTTGCGTTCTCTTGTGCTGCAGGTGAACTGGCACGACTTTGCGTTCTTCGACCCGGTGATGTACGAGAGTTTGCGGCAGCTGATTCGTCACTCTCAAACCGAGGAGGCGGAGGCCGTGTTTGCAGCGATGGACCTTGCCTTCGCTATCGACCTCTGCAAGGAGGAAGGATCTGGACAGGTAACGGCTGCGTTCTCCCGTTGCATCAGCATTAGAGTGGAGTCTGTGCACATGACTGAAGGTTTCCTGCTGCATCTGCAGGTGGAGCTCCTGGTTGGCGGGGTCAACATGCCTGTGACGCCTCTGAACGTGTACGAGTACGTGAGGAGATACGCGGAGCACCGGATGCTGGTGGTGGCAGAACAGCCTCTGCATGTGAGTGCACTACGCTCCTGCTTTTTAGATCTCCAAGAGCCAGAAATGTGACCATCTGGAACATTAATCTGGACTAGGCTTGCTGCGATAGCCGGTGTGTACTAGGGCTGGATCCAGAGGTTGCGTTAACTGAAAATTTCCCATAATTTACGGAATTTTTTTTATTTAGCAGTGACGGAAAAATCTGAAGGACGTCTGTCATTTTGACATTACACTGAGGGTGATCTATTGTAATTTGTAACTGTAATTCCCACCCCTGTCCAGTTGGTGGTGAGAGTGCTCCAGTGTGGCAGTGATCATCAGCTCCAGAACAAAAATAAAACTATCACCAGTCTTTTGCTATGCCTTTGATTATGTGCATGCGAGTACCCACTAAGTAGTAAAGCGAAAGCACTTCGCTTGATCTGAGGTGTCTACAGTGATCTATCACGCCACGTTAAAGGGTTAGTTCACCCTAAAAGGAAAATTAGCCTGTGTTTTACTCACCCTCGAGGCATCCTAGGTGTATATAGGGCCTTTCGCACTGCGGGAACCTTTTCATAGTACCAGAAGTAATTGTGGAACTACCCACTTTTTGGCGTTTTCGCACCACCGGAACTGGGTGCGATTTTAGTACCGGACTGCCTTTTTCGAGAACCAAATTAGCTCCTACTCCGGAGCAGGGTCTAACCAGCACAACTGGTACTAATTGTGACGCAAGTAGACATTGATTGGCCAAACGCGTACGGAAACGCCCTCACCCGCCTTGATTTAAAACTCTGTGTAAAACATACTGTAAGCATGTCAACTTATTTCGCAAGTATGGAGAACAGTGATAGATGGACGGACGCTGAAGTGCAGGCACTTGTAGCAAATGTAGCACTGCCAGTTGTCGTTGGAGATTCTTAGTCCTCCTTTCTGTTCTTTCAATCGCTTTACGTATACGTCGACTTTCCATGTCCATTATTGTGAAACCCACTAGACACAACAAAAACACTGCTCCGATCACACCGTCCTCCATCCTCCTGTTGTTAACGTTGTTCTTTGTTTCTGTTGTTGAACGCCGCGCACAAATGACGTCGCTGTCGACTGGCTTACGTCACTTCTTAGTACACACTGTCGGTGCGAATTCAACCCTTTAAATGGTACTGGGAAATAGTTAGCGCAAAATCGTCCCAGTACTTTAGTACTGTACATTTAGTTCTGGAACTAAAGCGATGCGAAAGGCCCTTATGACTTTAATCTTTCAGGCGAATCCAATCGGAGTTATATTAAAAATGGTCTCGGCTATTCCAAGCGTTATTGCAGTTGGCGGGTGTTTCTCTGTTTAACAATCCAAAACACGTCAAATAAAGCGTGCGCATCCAGAATAACACCTGCCTCACACGGCTCCGGGGCATGAATGAAGGTCTCCTGTAGCGAATCCATGCGTTTTTTCTGAGAAAAATATCCATATTTCAAACGTAATAAACACTTCTCTCTCTTTCATCTAACTGTCAATACGCAGAAGCCGTCACACGTCGATTAACCAGTTTCCTCACCGTCACAACCCTATTTTGCAGCTTGCATTTTTTTGCATGCTCATTTACAGTTGTGCATTTGGCAGATGCTTTTATCCAGTGTGACTTCCATTGCATTCAAGCTAAACCGTTTTTCAGTGCATGCACTCCCTTAGAATTTAACCCATCATTTACTGTTCGAGGAAGGATTTAAGAACATGTTCTCTCATCTGTGCCATTGCTTTTTTAAATTGTGCCAGAAATAAGGAGAAACATGCAGAAGTGTAAGTGAGGATGTTGTTTTGCAGGCCATGCGGAAGGGTCTTCTGGATGTGCTTCCAAAGAACGCTCTGGAGGACCTGACGGCTGAGGACTTCAGACTGCTGGTCAACGGCTGTGGAGAAGTCAACGTCCAGATGCTCATTAGTTTCACCTCTTTCAATGATGAGTCAGGTACATTTTTGGATCTCCAAGATGCTTGAAACTGATACATCTTTGCCCTTTTTCTGCTTATATGGAATTAAATAAATCCGACCCAGTTGTTCAAATGTTCGTAACTGAAGAATGAGCAGTTTGTATGTTGTTCTTCATTGGTAATCGTGTGGTTTTGATCGTCCAGGTGAGAATGCAGAGAAGCTGCTGCAGTTCAAGCGCTGGTTCTGGTCCATCGTTGAGAAGATGAGCATGACAGAGCGCCAGGACCTGGTAAAAACGTCTCCTTTTTCCTCTACTTAATATTAGGGCTGGGACAATAAATCGATGCATAGTGAATCGTGCAATTGTTCTGCATCGATTCTGAGATTATTGGAATGCATTGTGATTCTCTCGTGAATCGATTCTGAGCTTAGTTTTGAACAGCAGATGGCACTGCTTTAGAAACAGTCGTACTCTGCTTGCTTCCAGTTCCTTACACACCACTTGAACGCAAAATAATCATTCATAAAATTCGAAAAGGTTGAACCGAATTACAAGGGTGTTCATAGTGGGCTGTGTTTACATTAATCTC